CTGGGTGATGTGCAACAAGAGTACCTTTTTTTGTAGGAAAAAGTATGTAGTTTTCAAAAAATAAACCCACATTGCAAAAAAAATAACCTCAAAAAAGTTATTTACGAAACAACCCCCTACCCTTGCAAAAACTACCCTTTCCGCTTTTCCAAATAATTTTTCAGTATCACCATTTGATTTAGGGTCAAAATTTATGGCAGAGGATTTTTTTTCGAAATTTTATCTCGTTCTTCAAGCCTACAATTTTAGAACAATCGTTTTCTAAATTCACCTTTCAGTGCCCCTAACTCCCTTAATATGCATTTTCCGCCCTATACTTATAGGAACTTTTTTTATTATTTTTAGGAGTACTATCACCCCCCGATTTTTTTTACACCACTTCAATGACACCCTATATAGGGTGTTTCATTTAAAAAAATGCAACTTTGATATTTTTCATTTATTTGGGACAATCTGTATCTTTTGAAAATAATTTAAATTGTAGCTTTAGTAGTCCTCCAACGATCCCATCACTCAAAATTTCTAAAAATCTAATCATTTGGTTACAGTACTCCATGTGGAATGAGGTGAATAACCCCGTAGAATCCATTCTGATTTGTTTGAATATACCCAGATTTAATATAAAATTTTGGTACATTTTACGTATTTGTACACTAAATGATGGTCTCTATACCAACACACGGTCTCATTTTTGCGTCATTGTAGACATAAATATCTTGTGATAATTATTTTACCGCAGAATTTTTATATGCAAATCAGAACTTTTTAAATCAATTTTTGAAATGCCACGTTATTTTAAATATTCTTTATAAATATTTAACCAAAACAAGGTTACCATTTCTTACTGATTTCGTGACATTTTAGTGACATTACGATTATTTTACTTCTTTATGCAATATAATGTAATTTATATACAATAACCAGACTTCTCAGTTAAGTTTATAAATATGTTTTTATCTATCTTTTTTCTAGCTTTTTATGAAAAAAGACACTTTCTATTTGGACTTAGTATCGAATTTTAATATATTTTTAGTACATTTCTTTAGCGTACAGTGTGTTCAAGATATTATATATGGGAAAAATTATACTTTAGAGATTTTACCAACAATAACATTTTTTGAGAAGCTAAAATAGTTTTTTTACCCATATATTATGTCGAGTTATATTGAACACACTGTATATCGACCAAATTCTAATCAAAACTTTGGTGTTATTTTGCCAATATAAATCTATATTAACGTAACATCAATTATGTCTTGTGATAGTTAATTATTTTGGGGCTGATTTTTTATATGCAAAGTAAAAAAAATTAAGCTTTAGAAAAAGAAAATTATTTTTCCAGTAACATTATTTGTTTTAATTTCTATTTCGATTTATTTTAATCCTTACAGTTACCATTTCTTAAATGATTTGTGATTTGTGTTTTAGCAACTTTTATCATTTTGTTATTTTTAATACACGGTGTATCCATTCTTAACCAGACCAACTTCCAACAGCTGAAACAAGTTTTGTTCTTATACAGGGTTTTTCACCACATATGACACGGAGTATTTTAGCTAAACGATTAGATTTTTACAAATTGTAAGTTTTGGATTCGTTGAAATTTAAAAATATTTTACAGTATATTAGGTACATGGTGGGTCAAATTCGACGCTTTTAAATGGAAACACCCTTTTCTGTAGGAGATAGGCAAAAACTAATATCGGTGTCTGGAGCTCAATTTTTGTCAAAAACATGATGGTGAAAACCGCATATTGATATCTGTTACCGTTTCGGAGTTACGGTCAAAAATATGCATTTTTGACAAATCGCTGCAACTTTTTTGCTATGGAAAATTTTGTATTTTTATGAAAACATTTCCAAAGCACCTTTTTACGTAGAATTTTATGGTTTAAGTATAATTCTTTTTTAAATTAATAATTTAAGAATTATCAACAGAAAATTTAATTTTTTATATGGGACACCCTGTATATTTTTAATTTATTGAAAAGAATTTAAAATTACCTTTCCAAAAATATAACACACTTGATATTTTGCTTGATTCCTCTTCGAGATATAGAGTATATAAAAATTCGCCCGCTTTAAATAAGTAGGCTTTGAACGGCACCAATAATGCAAAAAAAATCTAGCTGTGAGCATCAATTAAAACGAAAATAATATTTGCTATGAGAGATGCAGAATTTTATAACTATTTAAAATATAGTTAACCAACATCAACACATTTAAACTATATCTAATAACAATAAAAATAAATAGCAAACCAAGACATGAGATTTTGCTAGAGGTATTCGACATATCGACCGTCTTCTGTTATGGACAGACGGGGCTGTTTTTGATTTCTCGCGGAATTTATTAACTCAGTAGGAGTGAAAGTTACCCTCCCATAACTGCTAAGTATTTCTAATTCTTGTCTAGATTATACGGAAGAATAAGGAACCTTTATTCTTCCGCAAATATATCCATAGGATTAGATCCATGGGCACTAAGTCAGGCAGCCTCGACGGCCAACGGCTGGGATCTTGGTTAGCTATTCAATTATTCTTGAAATTGGCTGCAAAAATTTGCTGATAACTTCAGCGTTCAGAGGCGGTGCGTCGTCTTGCTGGAAAAATATGTTTTCGAATTCCATTAAGGGCATATCATCAATAAGGGGTCCAAAGTCTACTAGTTAAAAGTGGCGAACTTTTAAAAATTCTGTATTTCGAAGGGGATTATTAAAAAATATCAAGTGTGCTATATTTTTGGAAAGGTAATTTTAAATTCTTTACAGTTAATTAAAAATATAGAGTGTGTCCCAAATAAAAAATCATTTTTTCTGTTGATAACTCTTAAATTATTAATTTTAAAAAAAAATATACTTACACCATTAAATTCTACGTAAAAAGGTGCTATGGAAATGTTTTCATAGAAATACAAAATTTTCCATAGTAAAAAAGTTACAGCGATTTGTTAAAAATGCACATTTTTGAAAAACACCCCGTAACTCCGAAACGGTAACAGATATTGATGTGCGGTTTTCACTATCATGTTTTTGATGAAAATTGAGCTCCAGACCGATATTAGTTTTCGTCTATCTCCTATAGAAAAGGGTGTTTTCATTTAAAAGCGTCGAATTTGACCCACCCTGTGCAGAGTGTCCCAAATAAATAAAAAATGTTATAGACTTTTTTTGTTTGTTTATATTTTTTTTAATTAAACCCACCCAAAATTTGTAAAAATCTAATCGTTTAGCTACAATACTCCGTGTTGTATGTGGTTAGGGGGTGGGAATAACCCTGTATATCTGTTTCTATCATTTTATTGATGTTAAAAAAGTTACATATATTCTTTTTTTATAATGCGTTGAAGTATTTCTGGATAAAATGTGATCACCCTGTATATTCATATACGTAATTTAAGACATAAAAACACTTTTATATTTATACTCATTTATTATATGTAAAAATATTCATATTTTATCTATTATAACATCTTATTTATATAAGTAAATAATATCAAACTTTATGTCTACTGTAACTTCACAATTCTCCGTCTCATTTTTGTGCAATTTTAATAATAGAAAACTAACAAAAAAGAACATATATACATAGATAAACTAACAAACTTTGTAAATTACACTTTGTCAATTTTGCAAGGTTCACATTCAGTTATACAATATTTGTAAAATAATGTTTGTGAACGAATATCTATATTATCAGTGTAAAAATAGTATATTTTATTTGCATTAAGTTGTTCATTTTTGAACCGCTCTGTATTTTATTATAAATTTACGAAGTATTACTAGATTTATAAGTCTGATTGTAGCATAATATTTTACTTGACATTAACTAATATGTACACTATTTTGTGTGTAAAATATTAATCTAAATTAAATATAGACTTTTTTACAGAATTTTATATTTAGAAATAAAGTAATCCATTCCAAGATTATAATACTGAGGGGGCATTTTTTTTATTTAACCTTATAAAGTGTATTGTTTAAAAAAGTACAGAATCACATTATCGATAAATAAATATACAGGGTGGTCCGAACTGTATTCCGGAAACTTCGGCATCATGTTCTGCAGATAAAAATTAGTAAAAAAGTTCGAATAAATGTATGTCCTAAAAGGCTTAGTTTCGGAGATACAGGGTGTAGAAGTTTCATTTTTATTTCGATTTTTTTCCAAATAATTTCTGAAGTAACGTTAATATTTGGATGAAAATTGGTGTCTGGGAGTTTTTTGACATGAGAAATTTGATTTTGATGTCAATATGACTCCTACTTGTAGAGGGCACCACCTACATATTTTAAACTGGTTTGTAGAGTAATAACTTTTCATCCGTACCTGTGAGAAAAAAATACATTTACGACGTTTTTTACGTTCTCAAGTTATTTGGAATCGAAGTTATCAATACCTGTCTTCATTGACATAAATTAAACACGTTGACTAAACAGTTATTAGACTGAAATAATAAATATGAAATATTTTTGTGCCAAAAGTTCAACAGAAACTGTTTTATCATCATTTTTTTCGAAGAAAAATTTATAATTAAAAAAAAATAAAAGTTCCCAAATTTATCATTTCACTCAAATAACTATCTACTCAACATGTTTGTTTTTAGTCAATAATGACATGTATTGATTATTTCCATTCTAAATATCTTGAGAACGGTTGCTCGTGGCAATTTTTACCAAGAGACATTTTTTACGTAGAAAATTACGGAAATGTATATTTTTTCACTCAGTTGTTTTATACAGGTATGGATGAAAAGTTATTACTCTTCAAAACAGTTAAAACACATGTAGGTGGCGCCCCCTACAAACAGGAGTCATACTGACATCAAAATCAAATTTCTCATGTCAAAAAACTCCCAGACACCAATTTTCATCCAAATCTTGACGTTACTTCAGAAATTATTTGGAAAAAATAGAAATAAAAATTAAACTTCTACACCCTGTATCTCCGAAACTAAGCATTTTAGGACATACATTTATATGAACTTTTTTACTTGTTTTTATCAGCAGAATATGCTGCCGAAGTTTCCGGAATATAGTTCGGACCACCCTGTATAGTAAAATTTTCGGCATTGAAGAATGATTTAAAAAGTTAAAACATAAACACAACAATAGTTATATTTTCAGTTCTTGGCGTTGATACAGAATTACTTCTAATTTTATCGTTAAACTTTAGTAATGATCTTAGTCTATCAATGGTTCAACTAGGTAACTAAAGTTGGTTTATTAATAAACTAAATAGTTTACACCTGACGTTAAAAATTGTGTTCACACAATGACAGGTAAAAAAACTGTAAATTTTTAACCAAAGCGTTTTAAGCAAAAATGTTGAATGTTAACAAACAAAAAATTCTTTGGGATTATTTTTTTATAATATTAGCTGGGTAATATTCAATAATTGGTTATCCATAATAAATAAAAATATTTGTATTATGTATTAAAAGGGGGTGTTTAAACTCTCAGATACTTTTATTATACTTTATTTATTTTTAACTGATATTAGTGCAGTCTGGTTTTATACAATGTTCAGCTATATTTCAACGTCACGTCATATATTGTCGAACTCTCTCAATCACTTGACAACCAGATAAGAGAGACCGGTGACGTCATTACGGCATTTCGTAAACTACTGCATATTCTTTTGAGTAACTGTCATTGTCATTTGATTTGGGGTTATAATTTTATTGACGGAATTAAATAATATAGCGAGTTGCTGATACTTTAGAAATAAGAATTTCAACAGTCCAAAGGATTGGAACTAACCTAACCTAACATAACTGATGAGGAAGTTCATATTGATGAGGAACTCGCTCAATATCAATAATATAGGAACGTACTTAAAATTTTATCTTCGATATGAACTGATCTCAGACATACCCAAAAACTCATATTTGACAAATAATGATGACGTAACGTTGAACGGTCGCTGAGCAGTCTTTAAATAATTTTACATTGGTTATTTTGACAATATGTTTATGTCTTTTAGGATATTTAAATAAAGACAGTTACAAATAGCATCAACTAAGTGAATGCGTAAACGAAAGACAGATTTTGTACAAAATGGCTTGCGTAAACTGGTTTATTAAAATTACAATGCGGGGCACTTAGAAATTTCCTATAGGGCGAATTGGGAACAAAATAACATAAAGCTGCGATTAGTCTTAATTGATAGTTTTAAGGGTCCTGTTGAACATACTAAAAGTCCCCATGGCCTTCCATAAGGGGAACATTGTCAAAATGGCGCCGCCATCTTGGATTTTTGGCATTTTTTCCTAAATTTGCCATTTATTCAAAAACTTTTAACTTTTAAAGAAAATATGTTGGAAGATAAATAAAAGACCGATAAAATTTCTATAATTAAAGGTACCTTCGAGGTTCCTAGGTAGCACCGTTACCAAGATAGGTACGTAGAAGGAGCACCAACATAACATTTTTTGGCGAGTTTTCGTTTTTAATCTGAATTAAGTAAATATTTTGCTGTTTATAAAAAGGCTAGTGACAAGATCGATGGATGAAAAATTTTGGACAGTAGCTGTAAAAATTTTTGGGCAGTACTGCAAGTATACTGTCGGGTGGCTTACATATTATTTCTGAGCAGTCGATTAAACAGTAGATAGCTGGGAAGTTTCTACTTAGGCAATACTTGTGCAGAACTTTGATGGTACTTAGGCAGACTAGGGCCGGAATTTGTGTACTAGGTAGTGCTTGGGTAGTACAAGGCAGTACTGCAAGTAGTGTCGTCGAGCGGTGTACTTTTAGTTATTATATTGTGTCATGCAAATTTTTATTTATTAGCACGCCGTGTTTCTAATGAAGCATGCAAAATATTCCATTTTCGGAAAATCTTCCTGAAATGTACTACATATAGGTACCATCTAAAAGACGCCGGCTGTTAAAAAATCTGAAAATCCATTCTCTGAATTATTCACGCTGCAGGTGGTTGCGACACAGTTAGTGGTTTATAAAATATCGGAAAACTAAAGTTCTTCAACTTCTAGAGAAGAATCCTGAGCTAAGAAATGCTGTTTCTGTATTTTACCATGCAAATGCTGCTAAGGATGATGTCTTGAAAGCTGGCGAGCGCTTTTTAGTATATCTCTTTACGGAGAAACTTCAGTAATTTCACTAGATGAATTAAGATTTAAAAAATACAATGCTATAACCGCTAGACAAAATCTTAGCACAAACTTCAATTTGGCTGCTCTTCCTCCCACCACAGATTCCGCAAAATTCCATATCTTTAGAATTTATATCCAAATACAAGAATGGTTAGGCTACTCTCCTGATCCATTGGAGTGGGGATGAGTAAGGAGCAAGAAGTAGCTCCTGAATTTATTTTAAAGATGATTTTTTGTAACTGCAAAACCTCATGCACAAAGCAATGCAGCTGTAAAAAATCTAGCATTTTTTGCTCAAATTTATGCAGATTTTTCCAAGGAAACTCTTGCGATAATATCCCCGAATTAAATCCGATGAATGGTATCGAGCCTGAGGAAGAAATGTTGATACCTTAGTTTTTAGTTATATTTTTTGTATGTATAGCGACAAAATAAACGTGTTAACTGGTATTCTTCAGAAGTACCCAGTCTTTTGACGTTTTCTTTCCTCGACTATTTCAAAATCTGGATAGATTCGCTGTTCCTATATACGAGTGTATGATCAAAAACTAATTAGCTTCAAATTTTTTATTAGTTTTCATGCATAATCGAGAGATCAACAACTGTAGGCAGTAGTTATACACCGCATTTTGGGCAGTACTAGGCAGCACTGCAAATATTGTTAGGCGGTTTAGATATTTTTGGCCAATTATAATTTGTGAATAACTTTTACTCTTCGAAGTAATAATATACATTAGTTCATAAGGATATTGTGTACTCGCCAGTTGTTGGGTAGTACTTGGTTAGTGCTAGATAGTACTGCAAGTACTATCGGACGGTGCATAGATTTTTGACTAAATGTTTACCTCTCGAGCAAAACGGAAAATTATCCAAGTTATTTTAGTTTAAATTTTTTAAAATTTGTAGTAAATCGATATGTCAGTGGTACTTCAAGACATATATCTTGATAAGGGTAGTACTTAGGAAGGTCAGAGGTATCTCTATTTAGAGTATTTTTATCGGTCTTAAAATTTTCCCTCTTCATAATTTTTCTAAAAATAAGTAGTTTTTGAGTAAAGACCAGATTAAGAAAAAAATGTCAAAAATCCAAGATAGCGGCGTCATTATGACAGTGTTCCCCTAGTGGGAGATATGGGGACTTTTAGTATGTTCAATCGGGCTATAAAAGCTATCGTTTAAGACTAGTCCCAGCTTTATGTTATTTTGTTCCCAATAAAATCATAAGTGCCCCGAACTATTATCTGCAAGTCTAAATCGCCCTTTATAAAATTTTGTAAAAGTTAATGGAAATATTTTTGATTATTTTTATAAGTACACTGGCCCCAAAGAAATTACAACATAAATAATCACAGATCTTTGTCTATTCTATCTATAACTACGGCAATATATTTTTTTTTAATTAATATGTAAGTGGTCGCTTTTAACATTGTCGTTCTGTAACTTCATCTGAATTTTTCAGCGGCACTTTAGTGTACACGTATTTCCTCGTACTTGTCCAGTGTACGTAAAGATAAAACGTTTCTAAAACTATAGCTATTAAATTAAGAATGCACGAAACTAACAGTAAAACATTAAGGGTAACGTCGACTTCATCGCAGGATAAATCTTCGTAGTGATACGAGTCGGTATAGACGGAGCTAGTGACGTTTGGTGAACATACGCAGGTCTTGTTGAACTTGTCGTGAGGTAAGCAGGTAGTGCTATGGATGAAGAGTAAGTGTAGGACGGCTAGGATGAGTACCACGATCGCCGCCATGATTGAGACTGACGTAGAGACGATGCTGGCGAACTGAAATATTCAAATATACAGTGAATTTTTTGAAATACATATACAGAAATTTCGTCAAATGCTCCCATTTTTACAAAATGTTTTTTATTGGGATATGACATAACCTAAACTTTTTTGTTTTACTTTTTCGTTTTTTTTTCACTAATAAGTTAATCTAGTCCAGAAAAGTTCGGGCCTTCTAAAAACACGGTATCCTGTAAAGTATGATCAGGATGTCACAAATTTAACAGTAACCGTCAGGATCTCGAAAATTGTTTCTAAGTACCTGTACTGCTGGTGGTTAAATAAAAGTAAAAAGAAACGGGACCTTGAAAATTAGGGTGTCCGCTATTTACAAAGTTGATCATTTCTCTCCCTATAAATTTTTAGTTTATTGTCTATCTATAAATAAATAAATGCCTTTATTGTCAAAAATTTTTTCAATTTGTAGACAAAGGTAAACTAACAAACAAAGTAAAAAAAACAAGGTACACAAACAAACAAACAAAAGATAATACAAAACATTATACAAATAATATTGTCAGTCTTATTGTTAAAATAAACATTTATAAATGTTTATAATGTCAAAGAACAAAAATAAAAATAATATTCAAAAATATTTAGCTAGTTTATAGTAAAATATCAATGACCTCTAAATAAATTCATTTCGATGGCATTAGTAAATATAGCAATAGCAAACATTAGACCAGTGTTTACAAGATCAAATTTGATTTTCAAAATATAATTCATTTACGGCGTAGAAAGCCTTGTGTAGTAAATAAGAGTTCAATGCTTTGCGAAATGAAAAAAATGATGTTATGGATCTGATTTCAAATGGCAGGTGATTGTGCATTTTTTTCGAGTTGTATAATATTGAACTTTTAACTAACTCTGAGCGTGGGGTAGGTAGATAAAGATCTTGCTCCGCGTTCCTGAGTGGATAAGTGTGAGATGGCCTTTCTTGAGAAGCTGATACGTGTTTACGTATTAGGCAAACGGATTCAAATATAAATAAGGAAGGAAGAGTCAATATTTTTAATTTTTTAAAGAAGTTCCGGCAATAAGTTCTGCTGTTTAGTCCCAGTGAATATCGAACAGCTCTCTTCTAGAGCCTGAAAATGCGGTCAAATTGAGTCGCACAACACGTACCCCAGAATGGAAGGGCATACCTGAGGTGCGACTCAAAAAGTGCATAATAAACAGTTCTAGCCACTGACAAGTTAAGCTCCTTAGAAACAGACCTTAATGCAAAACAGGCAGAGCTCAATTTTTTCGACAAAGCTTCGATATGTATGTCCCATTTCAGAGAATTGTCCACAACAAGCCCCAAGAACTTTACAGATTTGACGACGTCAATAGTGGTGTTGTTAAGTACAAAAGGCTGCAACGAGTTTTTATACGACAAAGCTTTAGTTTTAGAAATGTTGAGACTCAGGAGGTTCGAATCGCACCAAGATTTAATGGGGATTAAGCCATTTGATATAATCCTATGAAGTGCCGTGATGTCCTTGTTGCTCCAAGTGAAGCTAGTGTCGTCCGCAAAAAGACATATTTTGCCACTGATGTTTATGTTAACAATGTCTTTAATAAAAAGAAGAAACAAAATAGGGCCTAGTACTGAGCCTTGTGGTACTCCACATTCTATTGGCTTGTTAGAAGACAACGTGGTATCCACCCTCACAAGTTGACTTCTGTTGATCAGATACGACTTAAACCATTCGAGAGATGATCCCCTGAACCCATAGTGCTGCAGTTTATTAATTAAGATCTTATGATTTACACAATCGAACGCCTTAGAAAAATCACAGAAAATTGTTGCTGTAGGATGATGGTTGTTTAGGTTGGAGTAAACTTTATTAAGGAGGGAAAACATAGCGTCATTTGTGGACTTGTTGCTTAGAAATCCAAATTGATATTCAGTAAGTATTTTGTACTTAAACAGAAAAGATACCTTCTTTTAACCAACCTTTCTATGATCTTAGATAGCGTTGGAAGGAGTGCAATTGGGCGATAGTTAGAAGCTTCATCTTTGTCTTCTCCTTTATGCAGAGGAATGATTATTGCCACAATAAACCCTTGCCCCAAAGACGATTCATTTCCCATTTATATTACATAGGAATTTGCCACTTTTTCCAAATAACTTTTTTCCTCTCGATCTTGTTCTCTCGCAGCCATAAGAATCTATTCTTGAATTACAGAATTGAACGCTCTACAAAAAAGGTCTCTTATAATTTTTCGATAAACCTACTCCTTCAAAAGTTATTCATGGTTAAAGTTAACCACTCGGTAAATTCCTAAATTTTTCAGCTTTTTTGGCAAAATTATGGTTATTTTTGAATTTAGTCTATTAATTGAAAAAAAGCAATTTTCATGATACCGTAATAAACATTTTTAAATCATGGAAAACAATTGAATGCATGACAGGTAGTTAATTCTAATGGTGCGTTTAGATTTGAGCACGCACGCACTGATCCACCGCGAATGCTCAAGTATAAACGGCTGTGCGCGCACGCTCACCCTGAATCTGTCTGTGCGCAAGCAGCCGCGAACGTGAGCCGTCTGATGTGGGTTTTTGGTCCGTGCTCAAAGGGATTTTATGTGTGCGCGAACGCTCAGTTTGCACCGGCAATTTGTTTTGTCTGCGTTCGTGCGTGCGTGTGTGATTTTTTTTTTCGTTTTCTTTATTAAAATTATGGAGGGGATCAATGAATCTTCGTTATTATTAATTGAAGAATATGAAAAGTTGCCTATATTATGGGATGTTAAACATTCTTTGTATTATTAAAAAATCAAAAAAACGCATGACAAGATCTTGTAAATAAAATTAATATTGAATATGTCGATATTAATGAAATTGCTATTCTAAAGTTTGTATCTTTTGTTCGTAATTTTTGGTGTTATTAAATTTTGTAAATATTCAAAGTCGGGTCTGGTCATTCTTGTAATGTTTTTGAACTGATCATAGCCCTCCTCAGACACTAAGTTGTTGCAGTAAATTATATCGATTTCTAAAAATTTGGGTTTGCCACCAGCGACAATGTTTTCAATTTTTCTCCTTTTTAATAATTAAGCTGTGCATAACAATGACTGCAGCCTCGACTATTTCTTGGTTGTCCATTATTTTCGCCAACACAACTCTGCTGTGCGCGCACAAATGGATCACTTCATTCGTCGAAAAATAAATTTTTAATTTGAACGGAGCCGAGAGCGCGAACGAATGCCGTGCGCGCACGCTCAGCTCGTGCGTGCTCAAGTCTAAACGCACCATAATACCACAGATTATACAGATTATAAACTTATCGTCAAAAGCATTGTTTTTCGTGGTTCCAATTTTTTGAGTCGCGCACTACCGGCCTTGTGACCGGCCCAGTTATTACGCTGTTTAAACGGGAGTTTATTTTTGCGCACAAGAAAATTTACTCAAGGGACAAGATTTTTATCTGTATACTTATAGGATACCTAATCTGTGATAATACTTATTATTTTTGAGCTTGTATTCTTTTGCAGTACTTAATTAACTAATTTTAAGTAAGTTGGGTAAATTTCTGTTATTTTCTTAACATTTTTTTTCTATTGAGTTGACGATTTGAATTTATTTTTACAAATATTCTTGCCTGCTACAACATAAAAAAATATCAAAATCCAACTAAAGAATGTTTATTAAAATAAATCAGCTATACTTATAAATGGTTTAAACTTCATTAGACTTGAAGATTTCTTAATTCCCAACCTTCAACGCCTCAGAATTGTATATTTTTACAGTAATAGATTAAATTTTTCAAAAATAATCATAATTTTGTTAAAAAAGTTGAAAAATTTAGGAATTTACCGAGTGGTTAATTTTAACCGCGAATAAATTTTGAACGAGTAGGTTTATCGAAAAATTGTAAGAGACCTTTTTGGAGAGCGTTCAATTCTGTACAAGAATGTGATTGTCATGGCTGCGAGAGAACAAGATCGAGAGAAAAAAAAATTATTTGCAAAAAGTGGCAAATTCCCATGTAATTTAAATGATAAATGAATCGTCTTTGGGGCAAGGTTTATTGTGAATATTAAGGGTTAACAATGGTCTGTTGATGATCAACTTTGTAAATAACAGACACCCTATTGAAAATACTTTTTATGACTATATTCGATTTTTTAGTAGTTTCCATTTTTGTGAAAAAAGCGTCATTTTCAAATACATTTAATGTCATCAATCAAGAAGAAAATCAAACATATTTTAAATATTTTTAATTTGATAATAATACTGGTTTTCTTACTTTAGATATGTGATAATGAGCGCCTAACTTTCGACCTGGATATGGTCTAGGGCAGAATCCTAAAAAGGCACATCCAATTACACCAGAGAAAAATATCTGAAATTAATATTAGATTACCTTTAATAACCGTAATAGATTGCAGTTGAGGGTTGGAACCTTTGGTGTTACACAGCAAAATAAAACACTAAATCACCACAATACACCAAAACACTTTTACTTTTACACTGGACGCGCGTTTCGCTAACCATGTTAGCATCATCAGCAGATGATTATAAACTAAAGTACAATCTACAAGTTGAGCGTTTATATACTCGCTCAGTAGGCACCGAGTGGGCGTGGCAAAATCTAGCCAACCGAGTCAGAGCCCACTGAGCGTAACAGTTAGATTTCCGCCACTAGAGTAGTAGGAAGAAAGAACTTGAAGGAATTGGACCGTTGTCTCTGTTCATACTATCTTTACATTTATTAATTCTGATGCTTTCATATGCATCTAATTGCCTGTAATTTGAGACTTGTTTAATTAATTTTAAGTTATTAAGATCTATACAATGTTCTTTATCAACAATATATTCGGCAACGCAAGATTTATTTTTAGCTTAGGTATAGGTTAATGATTTCGGAAAATTCGACTTTTCAAGTGGAGAAAGATACGTCTATAAATATTTTTCAATACCGTTTGATCGAGAGTTATCCCGTGGTCTAAAAGGAATTTTTAAGAATGTCAATTATATTATAAACTTGTGCATAGTGCTAATAATAAATTACAACAATTATTAGGTAATCCAAAGGAAAAAACACCTCCACTGGACAAGTCGGGTATTTATGAAATTTCTTGTAAAGATTGTAATCAGAAATATGTTGGGCAAACTAGAAGATCAATATTAACTAGATTTAAAAAAACATTTAGCTCAGATAAGATATGGTAGACCGGGTAAATCTTGCGTTGCCGAACATATTGTTGATAAAGAACATTGTATAGATCTTAATAATTTAAAATTAATTAAACAAGTCTCAAATTACAGACAATTAGATGCATATGAAAGCATCAGAATTAATAAATGTAAAGATAGTATGAACAGAGACAACGGTCCAATTCCTTCAAGTTCATTGTTCCTACTAATCTAGTGGCGGAAATCTAACTGTTACGCTCAGTGGGCTCTGACTCGGTTGGTTAGATTTTGCCACGCCCACTCGGTGCCTACTGAGCGAGTATATAAACGCTCAACTTGTAGATTGTACTTTAGTTTATAATCATCTGCTGATGATGCTAACATGGTTAGCGAAACGCGCGTCCAGTGTAAAAGTAAAAGTGTTTTGGTGTATTGTGGTGATTTAGTGTTTTATTTTGCTGAACCGTAATAGAGTAAGATCCCAGAGCGATCAGACATAACTTATTTTCATAAGGATGAAACTTTAGGCTCTCAGTAGTGCTCTCATGTGCTTTGAATACCGGCGTGTTTGTGGGGTTCGCTCTGTGACACCTTGGCAGATACCAGGTGAGAAAGGCAACTAAAAGAAATAAATGAGCTTTACTTATTTTTACATGTCTGATTTTTACATATGTTATTAAGACAGCTATTATAAAGTTATATTTAATCAGTCAGACAGATTGTAATGACAAACAACAAAAAAATTATTAAAACACAAAAATTATTCAGTGACTATGAGCGCAGCAGAACTATGCGTTTCCGAGTATAGAATTTAAATATTTTAAAAATACTTACTGCTTTCGATTTAATATTTTTGCACCCTTTAAATACGATTAGTTGTAAAAGTGAAAACAATACATACTTATGGAACCGATCGGCCGACTATTTGACTGCATGTGAGCACGGCTCTATAAGAATTATATCGGTTACAAATCTGCAACTAAATAGTCAGCCGACTAAGAATTGCATATCACCCCCAGGCTTATTTTCCAATATTTCCTTTTACAGTATCCAAACTATTTAAAAACGTATGTCAGAGAATTCAAGGTGTCTTGTTTTTCAAATTAATATTTTTTTAGAAAATGTGCGATAATTGTTTAGTGTAGTTTATATGCAATAAATTAATTTACTTTAATAATTATTAATTATTACTTTAATAACAAAGCTCATCTTATTTAAATAGAGATGCAAAAATATTAAATAGAAAGCAGTAAGTATTTTTAAAATATTTAAATACTTTACTGGGAAGCGCATAGTTCTTCCGCGATCATAGTCACGGCTAAATAATTTTTGTGTTTAGAGGATGTTTGGTCATTACAATCTGTCTGATTGAGTAAATATAACTTTATAATAGCTATCTTAATAACATATGTAAAAATCATTCATGTAAAAATAAGTAAAGTTCATTTATTTCTTTTAGTTACCTTTCTCACCTGGTATCTGCTAAGGTGTCACAGGGCGAACCCCACAAACACGCCGGTATTCAAAGCACATGATATGAGAGCATAAGGTTTCATTCTTGAGTTGCACATGAGAGCATAAAGTTTCTTACTGAGAGCCTAAGGTTTCATTCTTGTGAAAATAAGTTATAATACATCTTTGGGAATTGAAAGAAGCAATGCTGATTGGTATAATAATAGTGAATGATATTAGTAAAATACGGGTTATACGTCATAAAAACAATAAGTGTAGAAATAGTTTGAATAATTTCCAAGTTTATATTGTTTATCAAGAACAATAAGAAAACAGTTGAATTTAAATCAGCTTTAATTTTATAAAATAAAATAAGGAAGATATAAATTAAATAAGGAAATCTATAAAATTTGAATAATAGTCAACTTAAAAATACTTACCGGAACTGCACTCCAGTAAGGATAGTCTTTTGAAGTAAGAGTTGGTGTCCAGAGAACAAACCATACCGACAGAATAGACAAAGCTATTCCCAAGAGGATGGTGACAATTTTCATTGATTTCACTAATTTGTAGCTTCTAATTATAAGTGGAAGATATTTTTTTGGAACTGCAAAGAAAGAAAACTAAGTAAATTTAGAGATATTTATGTAATTTAAAAAAATATGTGATTATTTTACTAATCGATTAGAAATCACATAATGCTTAAGTTACAATCTGTTTCTTTATTCTGATGAATTTGTGTTTGGTTTGTTATTTATTAATTTAAGAGTAAGAGTAAAGAAGTTTTAATAAAAAAGTAGTAATTAGCTTTGATTAAAATTTACTCATGAATGATCCATAATATCTGAAATATATGCAAATCCGTTGACAATTTTGAAACACCGTAAGTACAAAAAATGTTCATTTTGTAACTCTGCTTCTAAAAGAAAAATACGATGTACTAAACAAAGAAAGAGGAGCAAGTATTTTCCCAAGTGCATGAAATATAGCGTCGGATTAAGTAGTTATGTAATTAACACTTATCTCCGATTTACAAGATCGCCATAGCTATTCACACATTTATTCAGACATGTAAATACCATATGTAAATACCGATCGAAGACTGTATTTTGCCGATATGGTATGTATAAAACCATAGTATAAAGACAACCAGTATAAGGACAGTTCTTGTATTTTTAATATATTATATTTTTGAAGTGAAACTTCTTTACGCGCGCTGGGAGTAAAAATTCAAGGCCGTTACACAACACGCGAGACCACAGGTGATAGGAAAAGCGGTAAGGACAGCCTATACGGCTTAGGCGCAAAACATAGTGGAGCGACGAGGAGAGCGGCGAGCAAGCAGCGCGACGTCGCGTCCAAAACAAACCTGTGAAGACAAGTACGCATGAACATAGTAAAGCGATCTGCTCGCCGCTCTACTATGATTTAGCACCTCGAGGCTCGATCGACGCGATATCGCGCTGCTTGCTCGCCGCTCTCCTCGTCACGCCACTATGTTTTTAGCCTTAGAAAAAATCATCCGATTTAAATGAAATAACTGGTATGTCGATAGATTGGACCTAGGCCAACTTAACCGTGTACGACACGTGTCACTGTGACAGTCAGTTTTGACGTAAGAAACGTCAAAAGTTGACAAAAATCCAGAATAATTTTTTTTTCGTATGTTTATCCACACATTGTTTTTCTTATTACATTTGTAGGGCTAATTTTAAATATTATAAATTTTTCCATTCAACTAGAGTAGTCCAAGCGCTATCGAAAATTGATGCAGTTTGCAGCTTTCGTGGAGCGCAAAAGAGTGTCATTTACAACCAGCACAGCCATTTGAATTTTTTTCTACCGTCAATAATATATGAAAAAAGCTTGTAATAAACTAAGAAATTCATAATTTAAAATATCTGTCTTCTTCAAACTAAACAAATTATTTCGTGATATTACAGGACTGATATAGAAATTAGTGCGACTCCCAGCAAATAAAGAGCTAGCTCAAAACTCCGTAGAACTCATAACTATAACCCATTATGAAAACAAAATTATAAAAAACATAAACCCAAAATAGTGTGTTTAAAATATATCTTATCTACATTCTAAACAATTCTAATTTATTATATTGATATTATTTAATTGTACCACATGTCTGTAGCTAGTATATTGTCCATAAGGATAATTAATTTTCAAATGGCTTAGAGCTGGGTGTAAATGACACTCTTTTGCGCTCCATGTTTATGCTAGGCTAACGCTCTTCCCAGAAAGTGCGGACTCTATCAACTTTCGGTAGCGCTTGTACCGTTATAGTTGATCGGAAAAAATTATAACATTTAAAATTAGGTCCACAGATTTTATAAGAACGACAATGTGTGGACAAACATACGAAAAAAAATATTTGTAATTCGATTTTTGTCAAGCTAAACATAGCATTTCGCCGTGTGTGCGGCGTTTTGTTTACATCTTTGTCAGGTTGGTGCTAAGGATTAGATAATAAAGAAAAAATGTGGGTCGATTTCGGCATAATTGGGGACGGGCTACAGGATGACGCCCTCGACGTTTCGAACCGGTGCCTCTAAATGGACGAAATCATCAGCATTTTTCTTAATTATGGGTTGATTGGAATCAAACTCGGCACGTGGATAGAGGTATATTTCTCTGGAACTAATAATAACCTAGGATTATGTAAAGCGATGAGGATTCAACCCAAAAATGCCATGATATACATGTAAATAAAAGAACATATTTTCCTGAAAAACTTTCCACTACAGAGTTTTTTTTAAACGAAATTTTTAGGTTTTCATTGTCAATAGGACCTATAGATGCCCTAAGTACTGTTGTAAACCATGTAGCCAATTTCATATATTATAGAAGGAATGTATTACCAGCTTACAAAATGATCATTATCTATTACCTTTTCCGTGCCTATTCATGACGATCATTCTGCTGTGCCTCAAGCTGTTTCTTGTTGGCGTGTGTTTATCGCCTAAATTTCGAGCTGCGATATTCTGTGGGACCGTGGTATTCAGACAAATAACTTGAGTGGGATTCGGCGTTTCTATTAACCTAAAACGATTAGAATACTTTCAGTTTGTTGTTTTAAACGATTGATAGTTATTACAGAAATTACTGTAAAAATATTTAAAGTTGATAATTCTGCAGTGAAGTTCTATTAATTTCATAAAACTATGTAAACTGAGCAGAAATCTGAAATATTCTTCAGGAAAGGTTTTAGCAAATTGCGAATTGGAATGGTTCTTACGTAGTAAATATTTTTGTTATATTGTAAACAGGCGCGAAGCTTGGATGCAGGTGATGCGTCGCGTTGCATCCGTTCAAAATATTGTAAATACGTTTTTATTTAAAAAAGTTACTGAGATCTCCTATAATAAATTAAAATTCTCAGTAAATGTATTCAAATAATTATATAAAAGTTCAATTATTTAATGTGTTTGTTGGTCGAGCTGTATACAGGGTTGTTCACCACATACCACACGGAGTATTGTAACTAAACGATTAGATTTTTACAAAGTGAAGGACTATTAGAGCTACAATTTAAAATATTTTTACAAGGTACAGAGTGTCCCAATTAAGTAAAAAATATTATAGTTGTATTTTTAGATTCTACGGTTGAAATAAAGGTAAATTTGATTAAGGTTTACCGCATTTTAATCTTACCGTTTTTAAAATATTTAGGTTTTTGTCAAAATACAGTAATAATTTTAAGTTTTTAAAACCAAATATTTTACTGAAGTATTTCTATTTACTAAATTTTGTGTTGCAATAATAAACATTATACTACCTTATACAGAGTGTCTAAAAAATTATTTTAAATAATTACTAGCTTTAAACGGCCATAACTGTTTAATTTAAATGGAACACTCTGTATATTTTACGAGAATCAGATGCACAATTTAATTGTCTATCAAATTGTGTTGTACCATCTTTTACCTAACTTTTCAAGTTTTCGTAGAAAATGCATTTTATTATAATTTAGACCTCATTTATCACTATACCCATGGAATATTTACATTTTAGATTATTTTTAAAGATGTAACAAATTTTCAAAAAGTACCAGACACTAATATTGTCGATATAGTTCGCTTATTTCATTAAAAAATAAAAAACTGTTTAAATATTTTTTGTTGAAGTTGAAGAGGACCAATTAATATGATCCCAGTATTCAAACTACATTAATTGACTGTTTACGCTGATTAATAATAATTGCCCCAAATACTAAAAACCTGAATTTTGTATGTGTATTAGACAGTGTGGTAAAAAGTAACACCTTATAAATTATATTTCATTCTTTGACGAATGCTTATTTATAACAACAGAGACGCTCATTTTCATAACTTATTATTATATATTATATTGATTCCTGAGTGAAATCCACATTTATTTACAATAATTTATGAAGTAAAACAATTCAGTACCAATGTATTTAACTAATTTTTGGGCGGAAGTAATGGTTGTATATTTAATTGGTATACCCTTTTAGAAATATTTAAATATTTTTTTTTTTATAAACAAATGGGGTTGCAATATTATTATTTTTACCACTTGTACATTTTGTACATTTTTTTAAAGCAACAGCTTTAAAAAAATCTAAAATGTCGTATATGTGAAAAAATGTCTAAATTATTAGAAAATGGATTTTCTACGAAAAATTGAAGAGACAGGTAAAAATGGCATAATACAATTTGATAGACAATTAAATTTTATTAACCTAAAACGATTAGAATACTTTCAGTTTGTTGTTTTAAACGATTGATAGTTATTACAGAAATTACTGTAAAAATTAAAGTTGATAATTCTGCAGTGAAGTTCTATTAATTTTATAAAACTATGTAAACTGAGCAGAAATCTGAAATATTCTTCAGGAAAGGTTTTAGCAAATTGCGAATTGGAATGGTTCTTACGTAGTAAATATTTTTGTTATATTGTAAACAGGCGCGAAGCTTGGATGCAGGTGATGCGTCGCGTTGCATCCGTTCAAAATATTGTAAATACGTTTTTATTTAAAAAAGTTACTGAGATCTCGTATAAAAAATTAAAATTCTCAGTAAATGTATTCAAATAATTATATAAAATTTCAATTATTTAATGTGTTTGTTGGTCGAGCTGTATACAGGGTTGTTCACCACATACCACACGGAGTATTGTAACTAAACGATTAGATTTTTACAAAGTGAAGGACTATTAGAGCTACAATTTAAAATATTTTTACAAGGTACAGAGTGTCCCAATTAAGTAAAAAATATTATAGTTGTATTTTTAGATTCTACGGTTGAAATAAAGGTAAATTTGATTAAGGTTTACCGCATTTTAATCTTACCGTTTTTAAAATATTTAGGTTTTTGTCAAAATACAGTAATAATTTTAAGTTTTTAAAACCAAATATTTTACTGAAGTATTTCTATTTACTAAATTTTGTGTTGCAATAATAAACATTATACTACCTTATACAGAGTGTCTAAAAATTATTTTAAATAATTACTAGCTTTAAACGGCAATAACTGTTTAATTTAAATGGAACACTCTGTATATTTTACGAGAATCAGATGCACAATTTAATTGTCTATCAAATTGTATTGTACCATCTTTTACCTAACTTTTCGTAGAAAATGCATTTTATTATAATTTAGACCTCATTTATCACTATGCCCATGGAATATTTACATTTTAGATTATTTTTAAAGATGTAACAAATTTTCAAAAAGTACCAGATACTAATATTGTCGATATAGTTCGCTTATTTCATTAAAAAATAAAAAACTGTTTAAATATTTTTTGTTGAAGTCGAAGAGGACCAATTAATATGATCCCAGTATTCAAACTACATTAATTGAGTGTTTACGCTGATTAATAATAATTGCCCCAAATACTAAAAACCTGAATTTTGTATGTGTATTAGACAGTGTGGTAAAAAGTAACACCTTATAAATTATATTGCATTCTTTGAGGAATGCTTATTTATAACAACAGAGACGTTCATTTTCATAACTTATTATATTGATTCCTGAGTGAAATCCACATTTATTTAAAATAATTAATGAAGTAAAAAATTTCAGTACCAATGGAATTAACTAATTGTTGGGTGGATGTAATGGTGGTATATTAAATTGGTATACTCTTTTACAAAGATTTAAATAGTTTTCTTTTTGTAAACAAATGGGCTTGCAATATTATTATTTTTACCACCTGTACATTTTGTACATATTTTTAAAGCAACAGCTTTAAAAAAATCTAAAATGTCAATAATATGATAAATGAAAAGTCTAAATTATTAAAAAATGGATTTTCTACGAAAACTTGAAGAGATAGGTAAAAAATGGTATAATACAATTTGATAGACAATTAAATTTTGCATCTGATTCACCTAAAATATACAGGGTGTTCCATTTAAATTAAACAAGTTATTGCCGTTTAAAGCTGGTAATTATTTAATATAAATTTTTGGACACTCTGTATAAGGTAGTATAATTCTTATTATTGCAACACAAAATGTGATCTTCAGTAAATGTTTAGTAATAAAAACTTTGATACCCTTGAAGAGATGAAGCTTAAAATTTTTACTGCAATTTCATAAAATTGAAAATATTTTAAAAACGGTAAGGTTTAAGTGTAATAAACCTTAATCAAATTTACCTTTATTTTAATCGTAGAATCTAAAAATGGAATAACGTTCAGGGTGTACCATTTAAAAAAAAAACAACTGTAATATTTTTTACTTATTTGGGACACTCTGTATCTTGTAAAAATATTTTTAAATTGTAGCTCTAATAGTCCTTCGACGAACCCAAAACTCTGTAAAAAGATTTGTAAAAATCTAATCGTTTAGCTACAATACTCCGTGTCGTATGTGGTGAACAGCCCTGTAGATAACGCTAAGACCTACCGCCTAAACTTTAAAAATAAAATTATCTCTAATGTGGAAACATCTTTGTACCTTTAGTGATAAACAAGAAACCCCCTAAAACTCAGGAAAATGGGACACCTTGTATTTAAGATTGAATTTTAAATGTATTTGCATTCTACCTGTTGTTTAGTGATCCGTTTGCATTTCCATTGTTACCGTTTAAATTGTTGTAAATATGATGATCGTGATTGGTATTCAATGCAGGACTAGAACCAGTTTCGTTTTCAGCAGTGTGTTCGTTCGTTTTATTGTTCTGCTCCTTATTGTTCATTGCGTAGTTATTGTTCTCCATTTCTTTTCTAGAACGTAAAAAAAAATATTGCATTCAGGGGCGGCTCGTAGCACTGGAAGATGGTGAGGCACATTAGAAGAGAATTTTTATTAGTATGTATATAGGGTGACCATTAGTACGAGGAAGTCCAATATCTTCGTAGTTGACAAATATATGAAAAAAAAGTTCTATATAAAAAAGTGCATATTCTAAAAAAAATATTTTCTTTAAAATTGCAATCGCATTACCATTTTTCTGTACAGAATTGGGTTCAGCATAAAATTCAGCATACATCACACTATGGATTTATTTGAAGCACTATATATGCGGGATTTCCATGATAATTCATATTTGAAAAATTTCATTTTTAAAACAGTGGTAAAAACCTGGAGTGAATTTAACTTATTGATTATTATCGCTTAAGGTATGTACGACAAAAGAAGAAATCCGAGAAAAATTCACATTATTTAATACAGGGATTTTTTTATGGCACGGCCAATATTGCAATATTATAATGCTATATCTCAATTTTTTTAAATGCAATACACACTGTATATTATTTTTAGTATTTTAGATACCTACAAACTTAAAAAGCGCACATTTTTGTATTTAAAATATTTCTAAATTTTTAGCCGTTGCGGAAATAGCCTTATGTAATATAATTCGCAGTATTATACCGTATGATCGAAAAAAAAAACGGCGTCCAGTTGGCTGGGAAATGACGATCGATGACATTTCCCATATAAATTTACATATAAAATGATAGCGATCTTCATTTCATAGCCAACGCTGACGCCGTTTTTTCTCGATCATACGGTACCTATTACATAGGGCTATTGCAACAGTAATTTTTTATCAAAGCGACCTCAGGATATTTTCTCTTATATTTTACTCTGTATGGTAAAATTTTGTGTTTCTACCCATCCTATAAAAATAAAACAAAACGAAATCTGTAACAGGTCGCTTTACTTTTTGACTATACACAATTTATCTAGAAATGATTCGAAAAACTTTACCTGGGGAAGTCCTCTGATGATGCATGGTCCCTCTAAATCATCATATCTATCAACAATAAGTCACTGCCCACTTTTTAGGTATTTACTTTATATCTACAATAATCAGTAAAAAGAGTAATTAAACATGCAATTCACATTAAAAAACGTAGACAAAACAGTGTAATAACCTGCAGAATTAATTAAAACTCTGATTCAAACTAAGCCAAATTCCCAAATAATGCAATTCTGCATTTTCAGCCTGTCGCCTAAAATCTCTCGGGCTGATCGGGAACTGATCGGGAAGTGATACATATTTTTAACGAACGGCTTTTAAGGTTCAAATTTACATTTGAGGCCCGCCTCAATACGGTCTTTTTACGCGCTACTACTCCATACATTTTATCTCTCTTCAACTAAAGGTTTTGCCTATGCTTTATCTTTTCATTCTACAGAGGTAAGATTCCAGTGAACGCTGTCGCTCCGTCAGTGCGATATACCACAATACGCTAGACAAGGAAAGGCGAGAGGCAAACCTCTGCACATATACCTTTTAAAGAACAAATGAGATGGATATACATCGTCGAGTTTGTCGCATATGGGATAGGAAGCGCGTTTAAAGGAATACCATCGACGTAATTTATTGTAGAATGACGGTTAAAAAATACAATTATTATTAATGCAAATAGGGAAAAAAATATATAATTGTGATTAAAGATGTATCGATTAATAAGCGTAATTTTTCAAATGTATTGGTGAGGCACTGCCTCATAGGACAAGCCGCCCCTGATTGCATTCATAGATACTATATTGGAACAGATAGATTGTGATAGATTTCTATAGGATTATCGATATGTGATGTAAAACTAAAACTGGAAACAATTATTCAGTTTTATTTTTGAATCATGTAGTCAATATTCACAGATTTTTTTATATACCTTCTCCTCTTTTTTAGATGTTAAATATACAGGGTGTTTCAAAAAACATGTACCATCTCTCGTGGGGAGATTCCTCACGTAAAAATAAGATTTGTTTTTCATATCAACATAGGTGCGATTCTGCTTTGTTTTGAAGCTACAGGGTGCTAAAATCTTAATCTTTCGATTTATTATAATTTTCTTTCAAGTACTTTTAGTGATTCGGATGAAATTTTGAGGGTAAAAGTTACTTTAAGGGCTACATATTTTAATACTAAAAAAGTGTCGATAAATTCATCAGAGACGTGCATATAGATTCTCACTGGAATATTTTTCAAAAAAAAACGTGTGCGCCTCTGACTTTTTTCTTTTGATATCAAAATTGTGTAGGCCGTTTAATGTCAATTAAAAGTTATCTCTTGGTATTTTGCCGAATTTGGATTCCTTGATGAGATAAACGCAATTTTATTAATCACCAATTAATAAAATTAAAATAAAAATAAAATTAATAAATGAAGACTACACGGGAACAAACAGATATGTCACATTTTCATAGAAATTATAATAGTGACACAATTTATAGGCAAATTTTAGCGTTATTCGAGGCACCATCAAAGAAAGCAATAACACGCTTAGTCCCAGACATATTACAGTTTGGTTATTTTGCCGTACAAGGGAAAAATCAGAGTAGTCTACGAGTAAATCGCAAAAACCAGAGATGCCCTTACGCATGATCGACAAGCGATTGTGAAGCATGTTACATGTAGTAAATTTATGTATTCTAATAAAAACCTACTTAAATATTAATTTTCTTCCTACAACAAAAAAATACTAGTTTAGATTTAGATTTTATACAACCTTTAATTAGAAATCCCTGGTTTTTCCCCTCTTCTGTTTTGCATTTTGACATTTTTATTTCGGTATTTTAGAATATTGCAATAATTCACAATATGGATAATTAGAAATTCGTAGTAATATCTATTTTTCTAATTATTCAACCGAAAATAATATAATTCTTTAAAAATTAACGAATGGGGATAAGATTCTAACACTAAATTGCATTTTTCTCCGCACCAAGTGGACAAAGCTGGTTTTTCCCGTATAGTCTTCAAATTATACATTTTATCTAATTTATTATTAAATATTATTACTATTAGTTATTGTTACTATTAGTCCAGTACAGCATGTTCAAATAAAAAAATAATGGTATTTAAGATAATTACAAAAAATCTAATTTTAAAAAGTTTTAACATCCCGTAACTCTAAGAAATATTCCAGTGATGCACGCCTCTGGTGAATTTGTCGACACTTTTTTAGCTTTAAAATATGTCGCATTTATAGTAACTTTTACCCTCGGGCCACCCTGTATACTAATTTGAATTAAATATGGCTTTGTTGGTACTCATAACATTTGATTTTTAATTTAAAAAGGCGGTATAACATAAAATTGACCGATTTAATTTAGCTTGTAAGTTTTTTAAGGTTCTCTGGACAGTCACAATTTAACAGGGTCGCATTTTAATTGACTACAAACTAATGGTTATACACACACCTCTATCATTACTTGTCTCTCTGAAATAGCAACACATTATTCTCACTATAACCATCTCATTAAGTCACGCTATTCCAATTTTTGAGTACCAAAACTGTTTTTGGAATCACTCGCCGAAACCTGTCATTATCAATTAAAGTCTTCTCAGCCATTATTTCAATAAGAAGTACAAAAGATAATCATACACCTTAAAACTGTTTTCTTTTGATTTTCGCTGTCTAAGCGCGGAAAATAATAATGGTACCATTAAGTTTGTTGACTTGTACGTTCTAATTCCCTTACTTATATTTATTTGAGAAGCCGTTTTAGAACAACTGTGTTTACGCCTAAACGTTAAACAACGGTCGTTATGGTCGTTTCGAAAATAGAACGATTTTAATTTACATTTTTCAGCGGTGCAAGGTTTTCAACTATAGCGCTTTTACCGCAAACTGTGTTGCGTTACTAGTTTTAGATGTCTATTTACTTTTTATCATTCATTTCTATGGGATTGTTCTACTTAGAAATGATACAGCGATATTTAAGATTATAAATAAGATTTTTAAGATATTTAAGATTATAAGATTATAATTATGAGCAACTCTAACCCTCACGTGCAAATAATTAACAGCTGTATTCTGTACAGGGTGAATCAACGATAAGGTCCATTATCTCATTTAGAGGTTTAAAAAATCTACATTTATCTCGTTTCGAGATTTACAAAAAAATGTTAAATATAAAAGTTATAGGAAAGGTTAAGATACACATCTTAAAATTATTACGGAGTATATTAGCTAGTTTTTAATTTTAAGTAGTTGAAATTCATAAATAACGGGTGCGTCTCAAAAGTGGCTCACCCCTATAATTTTTTATTTTTTTAGATAAAAAAAAACGAGATTTAGTATGTGAGTATATGACATAAATTAGGATTGATTGACGTATGCAGTTGTTTTTGGTCACTTCATGTTTCACCGGAAATGACTACAACTTTTGATTTTTAACTTCCGTATTTTTTTACTTTATTCGATAGAAAATGACATTCTGAATAGAATGACATATCATATGTCAACTTTTGACATTCCCGCTTAATAAAAAATCGTATTTCAATCTAAAGTGCTAGGGTTGTGTTAAAAACTTGTTAAAAACACAAATTTTTAACCAAGAACCCTTGGAAAAATAGTTTTGATCGTCTAATGTTTCTTGGGTCTTGTCCTGCCCGGTATGCTGACCGGTTAAAAGTTTCCAAAATCGTATTTTAAATTTCAATCTAGAGTGCCATGGCTATGTTAAAAACACTAATTCTTAATCAAGGAGCCTTGGAAAAATAGATTTGATCGTCTAATGTTTTTAGTTTGTTGTCTTGGCCAGTTAGAAAATGCTCAAATCGTATTTTTAATCATCTCAATTTTTTCAAATGGCACGAGGATGGCTCATTAGCATATTTGGAAAAAGAATTTTTTTACGAAGAATTTGATATCACACACTTGGTATTTCGAGTCAAATTTTCGTTACGAACCGCAAGTTATAATTTCATATAAACCATATGCGAAAATATCAAAAGTTGACATATGATATGTCATTCTATTCA